TTGCTAATGTTTAAGTCCCTAAATGAAAATGTTGAATACATAAATGCATTTTTCTTTCTTTATGAGAGAGAAAATTAACGACTACATAACCTGTGAGCGCATCGTCAAACAGACTATTAAAAACTATCTTCAAAACTACGCTGGGTTCTTAGACCTCTCTTTGTCACAGGAAATGCCTGAACATTTCTACACTTGTCACATTTTGACCCCTCCCGTCTCTTTAAGGAACAAGTCTGATTGGTCAGAACTAGTCGCCTGTGAGGACGCGGTTTGTGTTTGATTTCGTCAGAATAGCTGCTTGTCTATAAGATTATTTTTCCTTGGGGCAAAACTTTGTAACATCTTAGCAGATAACCAGATGCACCACTAAGCTATACAAGAAACCAGCAACATTTGTCAATTTTTGATGTGGCGTATTAGAAATATAACAAGTAAACTGGACAAAACTTGCGTGACTAATTGCATTTCCTTCTCTGCGTAGGAACAAGCCTTTGAACTCAGTCAGAAGTACAAGGAGGGGAAGTACATCATTGAGCTCTCCCACATGATAAAGGACAACGGTTGGGACTGAAAAAGGACAAAACCTTCACGCTTTCGTCCATGACTTTTTAAAGAAAAAGGTTGCATGCCCCGAGACATTAAAGGGGTTTAAGTGTAGCTTCCTCATCCAGCCTTCAAGCCATTGCTGTGCCACCCTTTTCACTTCATACGACTTCGCTAAGAATAGCATGTGATGCCTTACCTTTGTCTATTCGTGCTTTTACAGCAACGCGTTTGCTGATGTTATTCAAGTTATTAGTTGTTCTGGGACTGAATAAGTGTGGTGTGTGTGTGGGTGTGTTGTAGTTCCACAAGCAGGCACCGCTGCAGGATGGATTTTAAAACATTAAATGTGTTTATAATCAATGATCTCTAAACGCTCTGAGTGGCAAGCGGATGAAAGTTAGCTTGATTTTTCACATCCAGTTTGAGTTTAAGATTCAGTATCGAGGTTTGTTTAAAGGGTAGATCGTTTTTGAGTGTATGGGAATACATAGAGCAGCAGGCGAGCTCTTTTTTTTTTTTTTTTTAGATAAATGACATATTTTTTATTGTAAAATCTAATTTGAGGATTGAATTTGTGATTTTTAAGGCCAACAAATATCTCCTGCAAGAGTGATTGAATCTGTAGTATGGAGTCTTCTGTTTAGAGGATGTTTTTGTTGTTTTTTTATTTTTTATTTTTATTTTTAATATGTATATGCTAAAGTATCCTGAGCTGGACATTATCGTGAAGCATTAGTCTGAAGCTGATTCACTTCTAGGTCTTTTTCACTGCACACCTGGGATGGCTTCTCTTCCATTTAAAGCTAATGTGATTTATCTTTTATACATCTGCATACTACCTAACACCGAGCTGCCCGTACAGACACGTTAGCTTGACTGTGTCAGTGCCAAGTGTGGTTAGGACAATGTAGCATATTTATGGTGATTTTTAATGTCTGCTTTCATTTATGTTTTTAATTTTAACCTGGTCTTTCATTAAACTACTGTTTGCCAGTAACATTTGTGGTTAATCTGTTTATTTTTTCCCTTTTCTAATCATGTTTAGGTATATTTGATGCAGAGTATTTTTACTGTTAAACGAGCACTGCCAATAATACGCTCATCTCATCAGTAAATTGTTAGGGTAATCAAAATCTAAACCATAAATTCTCTCACACAACAATCCTGAATATATGTGTCTATTAAGTAAATACATGATAGCGGTGGAGTGAAGGTCAGTTTCACTGATRATGATATTGTCCATGTTGTAAATGGATTAACAGATAAGTTAAAGAACGTGTAAGAACATGAAACTGCAGCTATCAGTTGTAATTTAAAGAACTAACCTGTCTAACTACTAGCCAATGCAAACCATTTTATGATCCAAGTAGTGGCTTCACCAGAACCACTCAAGATTTCTTTAGTGTGAGTGGGCTTAAAGGGATCCCTGATTAGTTGTAAAATTAGACTTTATTTGATAAACATATTTTAACTGTAAAATAAAGACTATAAAAATACTGTAGGCTGTTTAGTTTTGTAAATTTGTAAAAACATTTTAACGTGGACGGAGCCATTTTATTTATTTTAAATGATGACGTGGATAGGTCATCAGTGTGAGCGAGCTATATCCACCCTGAAGGTTAATCTTGGACAATATCTGATGATCGACTCTTTTAAATGAAACCAGAGAGCGTTGACAGAGAGGAGAAGGTGGAAATGACTCAGCCTGTAACTGAAAATATAGATGGAGGACAACAGAGCTGCTACCTCAGCTTAGCCTGTTAGCCTTTGCACTAGCACCGACGCTATATTGCCTCATATGTATTAGCTCGGTGCTAGCGCAACAAGCTAAACTGAGGTCSTCCATCCATATTTTCAGTTACAGGCTGAGTCATTTCTACCTTCTCCTCTCTGTCAACGCTCTCTGGTTTCATTTAAAAGAGTCAATCATCAGATATTGTGCAAGATTAACCTTCAGGGTGGATATAGCTCTCTAGCAGCCTCGCACTGATGACTTATCCACATCATCATTTACCCAGAAAGCTTTGCATGTAAATGGCCCCGTCCGTGTAATATATTTTTAAACTTTTAGTTTAAAAATTATAAAAACTTAACATCCTACAGTATTTTTACAGTCTTTATTTTACAGTTAAAAAATATGTTTATTAAATAAACTCTAATGTTACAACTAATAATGGATCCCTTTAATGAAAATAAGATCCAATGTGGAGCCAGAGTCTGATGACAATTTCTATCTAAACACTTCTGGACACACAATGGACAACTTTGTGTGTAATTTTATTTGAGTGGACTTATGAGTTTAGAGTAAAGTGCCTGCTCCTTTGCATCAAAAGGAGTCAGGGATGGTGGTTCGGACCTGGTTGCTTTTCTTTGAAGGGTTTTATGAACATGTCCCATTGGGAAGAGACCCAACATTTATATGGATTCTAGATCGTCTCTGAGCTGAGAATGTCTTGGGTTCCCACAGGTGGAGCTGTCATTAGGGGAGAAAAAGATCTGGGTTTCTCTCCCTGACCTGTTGCCTCTAGGACCTGATAAATCAAAGGCGGAAGGATAAAGATTGAAAATAAATAAAATGAATGTCATAAAATTACAGCACACTATTGCACACTATTCTTAGCTGTGGGAATCAAACAAGGGATTACAAGATGTGGTTCCAGTGGTTTAGATCTGATGTTTTAATTCAGAAAATATTTTTTATGTTAAGATAAAAATCCAAATGTTGGCTTTTCACTAGTTCTATATACAATTTCTTAATCATTTTAATCATAGTTCTGTAATGTGACACTGGTTAGGGTTAGTGTTTTAATTTATCATCAGATTAAAATGTATCTCAGTGCCATTCAGTTTTTATTCAGTCTAGATTTGGTCCTTTTTTCATTATTTATCTAATTTGAAATAATTTTACTTTTCTTTATTCACATGTAGTGCACATTTTGTTTCATGTAATTCAGTTCAAATTCAAAAATACTTTATTGATCCCAATGGGAAGTTATTGGATTAGATTACACACAAATGCTGTAATAAAAAATAAATAAATCAACAGGAGGTGGTCACATGAATGGGTCGTCCAGCTAATGGTTCATTTATTTGCACATGTCATAGTCATGTGTGTGTGCATTCCTGTTTCTTTTCTAAACACTTCTGCTAAATCACACGAGACACTTAAAGAAGTTAAGACCTTCTGAGAGACAACCAATACTGAATATTATTAATCAGATTTTTTGCAAAATAATGTAACACACGAGGTCTGCTGCAGGAAAGTGAATGTGACTATCAAGCAAAAAATAATATAAAATAAAGTCCTTGCATAAACTTTCTAAAAAATACACAATTGAAAAAAAAACTAATTTTCTGGGACAATTAAATATAAATAATTCATTGTTTTGTGTATTTTCAGCCATTTGTAAAATACTGGAAGTTCTTTGGATGCAAAACAAACTTTCCACTGCTATAACTTTTGCAATGCAGTTATTCAGGCAAACAAACAAACACAAAATGGTATTCTTGTAGGAAGAGCTTCTATGCCAGAAGTGATATTAATACCTGCTGACACTGCTATTTTAGCTTGCAAATAATAGCCACATAATTACTGTATGTATGAATAACCACATAATACAAAACTGATGGTGTTGCAAAGGATTTCTAATCCTAAATGAAGCCATTCAAGAAGTTATCTACGACAGGTAAGATAATAACTCTTTGCAAACTTCCCACAAAAATCTTGAATATTACTTTACTTTATCTTTAAAAATTAACACAAACCAAGCTTGTACAGTTTAAAAGGCTGCATATGACCCGGAATCTAAACTTACTGAAGTGAAAAGACACAGATTAAAAAAAAAAAAAAAAACCCTCATCACACCAGGACCACCCGCTTCAGAGTGTCACCTTGACACAGATAACTAAAGATTATCCTCCCGACTTGATTATTTGATCTTACCTCTGGCTTTATGATTCATGCGTATTTTTTTACTGTTAGTGTTTGGCAAGAGGCGCACTTTAAGGCAGAATTTACTGAACATTTCGTACTAAAAATTAATATGACAGCGTGTGCAGTGACGACTAGCGTTGCAGCTGCAGTCAGTGCACTTGCAGCAGAACGTACCACAAAGACTCAAGTGGACAAAACAAAAGTTACATAATCCGATGATATCACAATTTATAAACATTATAATATATGTTAAAAAGCACTGTACAGTGATTTCAGTTCATACAGAACTTTATAGTGAGGAACTGAAAAGCAAATCAACGAGTTAATGTTTAGCTCGCACCCCCGCGTTGGCATGAATGGATCGTTCCGGGTTGCTCGGTCACGTGACTTTTTCCGTTTCGCCATTTTCCTCCTCTACGCCGGAGCTTGGTGGTCATAGCGTAGTTTCGCGGAGTTTAAAGCTGTCCAGGGGTGACTTTTGGATAGAAGACCACCCCGCAACGAYCCCACTCTCTCTCTCGCACATAAAGAAAAGAAATTAGCTCGCCGTGTAGCTCTACCGCCCCRGGAGAGAAGAGCGAGAATGTCGTCTGAAGGCAGCCCCGAGTACTCGCCTTTCTTCGCTGTGATGGGAGCCTCTGCGGCCATGGTCTTCAGCGGTAACTACACCTCCAGCGCCTTCACTTGACACCTCCTTTGTTTCACATCATTACTCAGAAGTCGTTGTTCGAAACGAGCTGTTTCCAAAGAAGCCGTCTCTGTGATCACGTTAGGCCGCTCGGGTCTCGCGCACCTGCCGGGGGGACGAAGAGGGAGGGAGAGGCTAACCGGAGCCTCTTCACGGTGGTAGCTTCCTGCCTCCAGGAGCCAGGTTTTATTAAATTCAGGATGTAATCGTGTTGGTGGTAGATGCTGGTTGGTGACGCAGAGAGGTGACAGTTGTATCTGGGCCAGCCTGAGTGTAATCTGTCTCAGTGAAGCACGGAAAGGTCATCATTAATCATAGGTGTGTGATTATTTTTATTTAGTTCGCCTGCAGAAAAACACTGATGGGTTTATGAAGGAGAAGCAACGAGGCCTTCATGTAACTGAGTCAAATACTTCATTCATTCATTCATTCATTCATTCATTCATTCATTCATTCATTCATTCATTCATTCTCTCATTCTCTACACTGCCTGTTAGATATAATAAATAATACCTCTGGTCCCTTCGAGGTAAATGTATAAATAAAGCTTAAATTGGGGTCTCCATATAAAAATGTAAGTTAAGAGTTAATCAATTAATGCAAACGTAACCATCATCAGGATATTATTTACATTTTTTTTCATTCATTTTATTTTATGTTGCTCTTCCATCTGGTGAATTAGAAGCTGTGATTTATTGTGCAGAATGTTAATTTGGTATAACACAGACCCAAATCTGTCTCCATGTTTAATTAGTTTGTTTAACATGTGAATTCCTCACTTTGCTGCCTACTTTGCACATTTTCTACACCATTTTGAAACCATTTGTAGTGCAAGAATGAAGTAACATTTTTGTCATGGAAATGTCCTAAGGAATGTCCTCGGCCCCCCGGTGGGGTGTGCGGCTGGCCGCCGGCGTGCTGGGGGTTCCCGGGGTCTGGGACTAGGCGCTGGGGTGTGTGCCGGCCTGGCCTGGCCTGGTGACTGCCTGTTGGGGCTTGGGGCCTCTGGACCTGTCGGGCTTTGGCCTGGAGGGGGTGCGCCCTGGGGGCCCGGACCTCTGTGCCCTTTCCTGGATCTGCTCTGGTATGGCGGGTGCCGGTGGGGCCCATGAGTTTGTCGCTGCTGGCCCTGGGGGCTGTGCGTGTGGTCACTGTGGGGACTCTCCCAGTTCTCCCCTATGGTCTGATCTGGGGGGTGGTTGGGCGGATCTTCCCGTGCTGGTGCCCCTTGGGGGCTCTGCGCTCGGGATCCCTCTCAGGCCCTTGGGCTCTGGTCTTCCCTATGTCTGCCTCGTGTCTTGGGGGTTGGGTCTCCGATCCTCCACAGTCACTATTAAATATTCCATTGGAGAAATCTTGTATATACACGCATGTTTACAACCGCTAACAAACAGGTGTTCTGATCCGGGGGGTTCTGACAGGTCACTGAGTGTGTATATATATATATCTATGTGTATATACAGACAATATTTATGAATGTAGGCATGTATGTATGTAWATCTTTATATATGTATGGGTATGTGTATATATTTATATATGCCCTCCATGTATTTATCCATTTATTTTTCAGGTGAGYGGACAGATGTTGGGTGTGTGGTCCTGTGTTTTGTTGGTGCATATTTAATATATTTCTAATCACTATTTCAGTCTTTCTATCTTTCTAATTACTTCTCTCTGTTTTTCTCTCTGTCTCTATTTTCTCTTCACTTAATGGTGTGGAGAGGATGGCTATAAGGGGAGAAGGGAGGCCATCCAAAAAGAAAAAAAAACATAATGGTGTGGAGAGGATGGCTATAAGGGGAGAAGGGAGGCCATCAATAAAAAAAGGAAATGTCCTAAGGATAACTGCTTAAAATGTTACTGTACTCAGTCTTAATGCCTGTCACATTATTTTAAACTTATTTTCTAAATAAATACAAGAATATTGAAGCACTGGCAAGCTTTCTTAAAATTTAAGACTCAATTCTTCATTGAAAAAAAAAACGTTCTTCAGGATGACAGGATCTTTAAATTAAATGATAGTTTGCCTTAGAAGCAAACCTTTCTGGATAAGCGTTAAACCCTGTGTTCCTGTATCTTCATATTATGTGCAAACACATCTTGTGCCAAAATTGCATTTTTTAAAAATAAAAACCTGTTTTTTGTACTGTTAAAAGTTTACATCAGTTTTTTAAACCACATTTAGCCTGCATTTGACAAAAACCCTACATGAATGTGCCAAACTTGTCATAAATCAAATACAGCTGGTATGAAATACTGTTTCATATGCTTCGTTTTAGTCCGTCCTGCAGAAACCTCAGCATGCATTTGTCTTTTATTGATTTGCAACCACTGAGATGATTTATTTAGCTAAAATTACTGTGTAACAAACTGAAGACCGTCACGCTTGGTGTTTTGGGCAGTGCTGCAAATACAACGCTGTCATCTAGATTCTRTCTTATTAATGAGCCTTGTGTTTAACAAAATAACAAACTGCAGTTTCTTCTCTAAGGGTCAAACTAGTTGGTGTTTGTAAAGTTTTTTGGCTCCTCTAAAGATCTCCACTTTTATTTTCTTTCTCTTATTACAGTTTGCACTTTTATCGTCAGCACTAATGCCCAGTCCATCCAAATCTCAGCGGTTTTTTTATTTTTCACAACTAAAGCAAGTGTGGAAAAGGCTGTTGCTTTACACATTTACTATTAAAATAATTATGGTAGTCAGGGAGGTTGGTATTTGGTCTTAACAGATAACTTCAATTCAGTGATCATGATTGTATTTCAGAAATCCTTTGTTGGAAATGTCAACTGGTGATTAAAAAAAACATCTGTGCAAAACACACTAGTCCGTTGTTTCAGTAGCCATAGTCTCTGCTTATCAGAAAAACACAGCAGGTCACATGAGAGTATCTTACATTAGGAAGAATGCTGATAAAACAAAGGCTGAACTGTTTAGCCTCAGATGCTAACCTTTACATCACTCATACCACCACTGCAGTCCCAGCATGTTAGTTTTTATTTGTGCAAAATGTTATTTACACAGGAGAGTATTTCAACTAGAATTTTACATGTTTAAAATGTGAAACAAAAATCATTGTCCTCAGCAGTGGTTCCTTTAACGCACTTCAGTTAATTTTGGTTTGTTTCACTTTAAAGGCTACAGCAGGTGAAACGAACCATAAATCTGTATGCAAATGTCAAGAAAAAATGGTGACAAAGTAACATCACTGATCTCTGACAGTGGTTGAAGTTTGAAACATGAAAATGCCAGCTCAAACAAACAACGAAGTATGTTCAACACTGGGATCGCATAAATGTCTGTGATAAAAGCAGCATGGTGGCAGATGCATGGGTGTGAAAGAAACTGCAGTCTTTTTTTTGGCTCGTTTTGATTAAGAGCCAGGCCTGAAAACAAAAATAAAGATGATGCTCACTCATGCAGAGGGACTGTGGGGCTGGGTTGTTGTACATTATGTGTACTTTTAAATGATCAAGATGTTTCAAAAGTCATCTGCAGCAGTAAATAAATCTGACATTTTGTAACTTACAGTAATGAGAAGATAAGCATGTTTGGTTGCTTCAGAGTGGTGCTATTTATAGTTATGCTTTGATGGGCTCATGCAAAAAAAACATCACGTTTGGAAAAGAAATGTCAGTTAAACATCTTTCTCTGTTTTATCTTGCCTTTGAGTGGCGCCCCCTGATCCAAATATTATCTGGAATGTTGTAAAGCCTAAATGTGGCGCTTCAGATTAAACATGCAGATTAACGGGGACTGTCTGCTCTGTCTTGCTCAGCACTAGGAGCGGCATATGGGACGGCAAAGAGCGGCACAGGCATCGCTGCCATGTCTGTGATGCGACCAGAGCTCATCATGAAGTCCATCATCCCCGTCGTCATGGCCGGTATCATCGCCATCTACGGGCTGGTGGTAGCTGTGCTGATAGCAAATAACATCTCTGAGAATGTCACTCTTTACAAGTAAGATAACCTCTCATACACTCAGAACTTTGTTTTTCCAACATTCTTCCGCTCACTCGTTACATCACACAGATTTGCATTACGGGAAAATAAGTCAGAGGGAAAGTCGAGCCCTAAAGCAGTGGTGCCCCATCCTAGTCCCGAGCACCACCACATGTTTTAGATGTTTTCCCCTGCTCTTCAGCAGCTCTTAAAGTTCGGCAGAAGTCTGTTAATTTCTCAAATCAGGTGTGTCAAAACAAAGAAAGCAAAGATGTTTGCTGTTGAGGTCTAGGATTGGGCACAATTGCCCCGGGTGTCCATCTCAGTTAGCAACAAGTAAAAAGTTCATTACAGTAAAAGATGGAGCATGTGTGGTTTGTTGGAAGGGTCACAAGGAGAAAACATCAGTTTGCAAAGTACACTTAACCAAAACATAAACGCCCCATGTCAAATACACGATACACCTGGAACCTGGATTCATCCGTGAACATCACTCTTCTCCAGCGTGCCAAGGGCATTCGGACATGTGCATTTGACCATGTGAGTCGGTTCCTATGCCGGACAGCAGTGAGATCCAGACCACGGTGAGGGCGCCGAGCTTGCAAATTATCTTCTCGTGGGCGGTCACGGACAGTATGAGGTGTGATGCGTCTGTTGTGCAGACCAATAGTCTCATCAGCTGTTTGTGTCGCTGGTCTGAGTCGATCCTGCAGATGGATGAGCCGTATGTGGTGATCTTGTGCTGGAGTGATCACACGTGGCCGGCGAGGATGAGGTCGATTTGCAGTAGTGCCAGTCTGTTGGAAACAAACTCTCAAATGGGCTATGGTCCAATAATGGACATTGAACCTTGCAGCTAATGCTCTGGTAGACATCCCTGCATCCAACATGCAAATGGCATGCTCCTGCATAACTTGTGACATCTGAGGCATCATGACATGTGACAAAACTGACATTTTGGGGTGGTCTTTTATTGACCACAGTCCAAGGATTGTCCAGCTGTTGCTCTTTTTGTCTGATCACCCACTAGACATGCCCCACACATGCACTGAGTAAAAAAACAACTCACTGAGTAATGCTCACTGACAGCATGTTAAGATAAAAAATTTTACACAAATCAAGAGAAACATTACCTTTGTACAWTAAAATGTCTTGTTAACTCACCATGGCAACAATATTTGACATGGGGCGTTTATATTTTTGTTAAGTGTAGTTCCAACCAAGCCATAAGATCTGCAGAACAATGGTCCTCATGCAAGAACCGTTCGTACGCACAGATTTGTTCTTAAGTTGTGCGGACGAGGGATTTAGGAGAATTT